TCTGGACAGAGCATGCTTCCATGGGTTAAATTTAGCCATTTGTAGTAAACCTAGGACAGATCCTGAACTTAACTGGCTTAGAAAATGTTCCATAGCCTTTTGTGCATGGCACCATGTTAAACAGTGAACTCGGGTGTCTGTTCCTGTCTTGGAGGGGGAGGTTGCAGCGCTCCCACGTAGCCTAGGAGGAGCAACAGACACAAAACCTCAGGCACTTAACTGCCGTGCTGGTGCCTCTAATGCAAATACAAAATATATAAGGGATTGTTCTTTTTAGCAGCCTTTCAGCCTTTAAGAAAGATAAGTAATATCTCTGTGCTCTGAAGGGAGCCATCTCCACTATCACAGGGCTCTGACAACGAGCTTCCTACGCAGTTTGTCATGCTGAACGCCACGGAGGCTGCCTGAATGCTGATATTGTTCGTGACTTTTTGTTATGTCTCAAGTAAAGATTTGATGTATTTAATTTAGCAAAGACATTGATCAACGGATATAAATCTTTGGATAGGCTACTGATAAAAACTCCTTTAATATCATCCTGATGTCTGTGCTATGTTAGGCCTCAATAATATTTACATTTTATCCTTTTTATGAGCTCACTGGCATTGCAGTGATGGTTTCCAAAGATTATTTTTTTTTTCAAAACACAGTAATCTCCTGGGAACACTGGCATAAATCTGCAGTAACCTCAGTTTCTTCTGGTAGAGATACTTGTGCATGACCAGGAGCACTACTCAGCCCAGGGATTGTGTCATACCTCTGGTTACCAGCAAGGAGAAATTGCAGCGTTCAGCTTACTGCATGTCCTTGCCCTGTCTCTTTCAAATCCTTGGCTTGTTCACAAAAAGCAGCATTTTCCCTTTTCCAGCTGTGATGTCAGTGCTGTGCAATACTTTCCTCTGGCACTGGCTCACAAGGAGCCCTCCGGAGGACGAGCCAGCAAAGAGACCTGCTCCTGCACGGGTCACTGGTCAGAGCGAGGGCAGCAGGCCCACCAAAATCAGCAGTGATGTTTATTGCTTTGCTCATGGCACTGCTAGCTTGCAATTCATCTTATGCAGCCCCGCTCCCATCAGCTGGCTCCACGAGAGCATGAAGGCACATCCCTTCACGGCCCTTTTCCAGTGGGCAGTTAATTCCCACAGTGTCGCTGCATACCTGCACCTTGGCCTGGAGGTGATAACGAGTGGGGGCACACCGCTTCACCCTGCAGAGAGGCTGATTTCTGTGTCACAGAGAGGCTGACACCTCAACGGATACAGGTTGTTAGCAGTCCTGCAGCCCCACTGCAAGGGGGGGTGTGAGTGCTGGCTGTTCCCATTTGCTGTGCCAAGGGGTCACAGCAAAGGCTGAAGGCAGTAGGGTCATGGTGCGGGTATAAGCACAAGCAAAGAGTCCCAGCACCGCTGTGTTTGGCCAAAATATTAAAGGAGAGAAAGATGAGAGTGAAAATGGAGGCAGAGATAGCTGAAGCGATTAGCCTAAGGGCAAAGAAAAGCTCTTTGCTAGAGCTGGAAACACAACTCTATCCTCTGAGCAGCTTTTCCATAAAAGAAACGCACGCTTATTTTGACAGCATTTTGTGTACAATTATAACAGTGAACTTGTCACAGTAAATTGCTGTGTGCAACTTGGTTCTATTTTGAATATTGCTTCTTCACAACATGCAAGAAGCCTAGTAGGAGTGCCTTACGTTATTCATGTTACACCTCAGGGGCAAGATAAATAATACATAAATTGAATGAACACCCAGGCACATTAATGGGAAAGGCTATGCAACTTCAACCACCCTATGAACTTTTCCACTTTCCTCACAGAAATTGTTTCTGTCGATATTTTGATTTAAATTGGTCTGAAAGGAAGGAAGAAGGAAAGTTTAATCAGAAGGTTGTCAACAAACTGTGCTCACTTAAGAATTAGTGGACAGTGCCACTACTCGCAGCTTGGTGTGCTATATATCTTCCCTGCAGATAAATGGTTCTGGGGCTTATTTGGAAAAAAAAAAAATCCTCACCATTTTTTTTCTTTTTTTACTTTGGTTTGGAAAGTTTGTTGGACTTCTTTTGTTGTTGTTGTTGGTTTTTTTTTTTTTTTTTTTTTCTGTGTAGTATTACAAGAAGTAAAAACCTTAAACTGGTACAACATAATATTGATTGTTGCATAATCATTAGAACTAATGCAACGCGTCCTGTTTTGGGAGGCTCAGAGTTTGCTGTTCCAAAAAGTTATGCTAAGTGAAAAGAGGAAAACTATGGAAACATCTTCTGCTGTAACAGATATAATCACCAGCACCCGGTTAATTAAGCAGCCAAATGCAGCTGAAGAGCTGACAGTTCTGCCGTTCAGTTGCACTGTCCTCAGCAGTTCCCACCCTCTCTCCTGCCACGATCCCTTGTTACCTTCATCCCTCTGTGGAACAAGGGCTTGTCTCTCTGTTTAGCTTCTGTAACATCTCCTATTCCTAATGCAATTAATGGTACCACCATAGCAACACAAAACCAGCCCAACTTAATAGCTAAACAAACTCATTGTCATGTTTGCAGCCTGCTGAGATTTAGGAGAGTTTAAGCTAGAAGAGCCCTTTCTGTCACCCAGCAGTCAAAGGTTAACTCCTGCCTCCATAGCCAGATTTCCACCCTCCTCTGCTGTTCCCACCAGATGCAGGCGAGCAGCAGTTCTAGTCCCCAGCGTCCTTTCCTCTTTAACCCCGATACACCCCATTCCAAGCTCAACACCCATTTTTATGGTGGATAAAAACCACTGATCCTTCAGTGAGGCACTTTCTGAAGCTCACCTTTATCTTTCTAGCACTGGCAAGATCTTATCTGACAGCAACAGGATCCAGCTACGAGTGTAGGAAAATATTGCTCATCAGGGTTTAGTAGAGATTTGCTGACCTACGGAGAGCTTTCCGTCCCAGAGATTATGAAAGACCCAAGGAGGGATACAAATGGGCAGCCACATCAACCATCTTGATAACAGCATCTGTTACACCACGAGATGAGCCTGGTCCAGGAGCGATGGCAGCTGCTTGGCAGCTTGATACCGGGGGCACCAGGCTAGTTTTGGTAAGCGGTCTTCAACAGCATCCCTAAGCTTGCTGTTGTATTGCTGGCAGTGCCAGCAGGAACTTAAGTATCAGCCTAAAATCCTTGTCAGACGACTGCTGATAACTGATCTCTTGAAAGCCCGGACTACTGTAGACAGTATTAAATGGCTATTCTGTGAAAACACCAGAAACAAGCCAGTAGTGCAGTGGCTGGTGCTGGAAGGATGTTACTTTATTTGTGCCTCACACATCAGAAGTTTGGAAGCAGAGGATGGCAGAAAGTGCTATGTCTGCAACAGTCACATATCGCTTAATTGTACAATGATATCATGAAGACTGCCTAGGTTCTTTTAATTGAGAATTACACTGTTTGTTTTAAATAAAAAACTAATTCAAGGTCAATAGTAAATACCTGCAAAATTGCAAGAAGCAGAACAGAGGGAGAAAACTATTCCAGAACACAAAAACATTAGAACAGGAAGCAAATTAAGAAGTGCTTATAAGTTGATGGTGTTAAAGCCTAGGGAACAGTAAATGAGGAACACTCCAGTCAGTTATAGAAAGACTGGAATCATTTAGAAGCTAATGGCAGAGACTGTTCAAGCTGACAAACACAGAGTAATGAGGACATTTAAGAATCTTATACTCGCTGTGTGTCTTAAAATGCAGAGATTAAAGAGTACAAAACAGGCAATCTAAGGGTGGTTGATTCCCCCACCCCTTTCCTTTCTAGAAAGAAAAGCAAAATGTCACATCTTTTTTTGGGTACAACTGTGTTAAGTGCATGCCCTTACATTGGGAAGAAGTTTGACCAAAATAGTAAAGTTGCCTACTACATATCAATCTAAGGAGAACAGCAAGTGCAATTTAGAGAGAAATAATATGAAATCAACAGAAGTAGGCATTCTGTCCAGTTACATATTCCCAAAGTTAAAAATCAACATTTGAATTCCTTTGCAAAAGCTGCCCTTCAAGCACTCAGAGGTCAGGCTTCATTTAAGAGTCAATACACTTAGAGATCATGTGCTTAAATCATCTTTTACAGAGAGGCTATGGATTCCAAGTAGCGTTTTGGAAAATACCATTTTGTGCCCAAACACAATACCATACCAAAGCCATACCACACACATCCTCCTGTTCATCCTGCCAGGCCACAGTTCATATTTAAACATGTTCTATATTAATGCTCAGAGCTTAGCTTTCAAAGCTTACAACACACTGGAGCAATGCATTTCTACTCTTATCAGCAGAGTGTTTAATTAAGTGATCTAATCTTCCACTCGTGTCCCGAAATCATGTTCCTTCCAAACAAGACAGCTGACACACAGCTCCCAGCAGATCCTCACTATTACATGGCTCTTCCAAGAAGATCAAGACCAGAGTTACTTTTTCCACACTGGAGCTCTTCAGCCAAAATGAAGAGGTACTATTTTCACAGTATCTTTTACACTGTTAAGTCCCACTCTGGAACCAATTCACACTTCTCCAAGCTGACCAGCCAATGGCTGCATTTCAGAAAGGTGTTCAGTGTCATCTCTGAACGTTTTCAATGCCTCATTAAATGAACCGAACCATGAATGCCACATTTCCAGCCTCGCAGCCATTGCTGGCCTCTAAGCAGCACAATCCCAGCAGTTCGATACAACTGAAATAGTGGTTGGCTGCCATATATTAAATAACATTGGCTATGAATTTTATTGAGCTCCCACAGCATAATGTACTAATTACTTGGCCAACAAACATCATTAAGCTTTTAAAATAATCTTGTACCATTTGGAAAACATGTCGTTCAATGAATACCTTATTAAACACAATTTAAGCATTTCTTTGAGTTCTTAAATTCTAATGGTGAGCACACATTTTATTATAAGACATGAAAAAATCAAATAGAGTAAATGATTATAAGACACCAGAATCATTAAAAGAAGAAAAAAAAATCAAGCAGACTTACTTGAACATTCTGGAAACGGTGCTGAAAATTGTCCAACCTGGAGTTTACAGCCATCTTAAAGGCTGGGCAGTTTCAGAATGACATCTGTAGGTGTTTCGTGACCAGCAGATCTGTGTTGCCATGGGAGAACATAAATACCTGCAAATGACAAAGAGGAAACAAAGCTGTTATCAGTTACAGACAGTTTTTTGGACAATTTTTTGAGGATTTCACACTCATTTAGTTACAGCCTTCCAGGTAGTGAAGGGACAAAGAGAAAAGCCTGTGTTGAAGTCGTGGAGGTAGCTATTTCCCATCTGCTGGTCAGCTTGTCTTGATTACGTGGATGAGAAAACTTGAATCGGAAGAGGGATAATTGAATAAGTCACCTCGTGTTCAGGACAAATTGACAAGAAAGGGTTGTAGTAATGGTTGTGAAGAATGACTGACCATAGAGTGATAGATTAAAAGTAAGAGGAAAAGAGAAGCACAGAATGTAATTCTTACTGAGTCTTCAAAGATCACCAAAGGCATGAAATAAATACACACAATAATGTCTGGTTTCAATTTAAAAGGGAGTCATTGGAGAAAAGATTAAAAATTAAAGCCATATATTGAAATGGAGAGAGAGAACAAGTAGATTTTATGGGTGCATTCAAGAGGGGAAGTATTATACTAAAAATACAAGAAGATTAAATAGGCTAAGTATGTAACTACCGCTATCACATCATAGTTGGAAACCTCACTGAATTCAGCAGGAGCCCCCTTCCCCCCACCAAACGAAAAAGATGTGTTTGACAGCTGTTGGATCATGTTCTCAGTTACCACATACTGACCTTAATACCACTCAGCTTACTCTAACCTGCCAGCCCCTGGTAACTATATACGAGACCAGGCACAACTCAGAGTATCCTGAATGCTTAATATATCTTTTTGCCACTGAAACTCAGTCACTTCTAGGAAAGTGGAATGCCACGCAAAGATCCTATGCTCAAAAGAGTAGGTCAGAAAAACAATATTTTTTCCACAAAGAAATTACAAGAATAAAATCTTCAATTATATTTTTTAGATGTGATTTTTTATTTATTTATTTTTTTAACTCAACTGACTGAAGCGCACTTGAAACTTTTGTATTTTTGCTTTTTAGTCAAAAAGTCTTGACTGGTTCTACTCTAAAAAAAAAAAAAAAAAAAAAAAAAAAAAAAAAAACACAGAAGTGAAAACTGAAATAAAAATATTAACTGACAGCCCAGACAGCCATGTGGATTAGGCTTCTAACCCAGGATCTGACCTTACCACATGAAAAATATTATCTGCTAAGAAACATCCACACAAAGGACTTTTATTTGCAATATCTTGTCCAGGTAACCCACACCCTACAGCCTTACAATTCTTTGATTTATAAGCTTCAGAAAGCTGAAGGAATGCCTTTTAAACATATTCAAACTGGTGTAAGTCTGCCTGAAATCAATAGGCTGTATTCATTTAGCAGGAGGTTGACTTCACGCCAGTTCTGACTGAGCTGAAGGTCAAACAAACAGATACTTCAAGCTTAACGTTTGGAAAAATAATTCGCTTTTCATATACATCTCTAAAATTCAATCTTTAGTTCAGGAAGCCGACAGCAGGAGCTGTAGCTGGACAATGGCTAGGCCGTGTTGGTAACACGAAGTTACTCTCCATAGCTTTAAGAGGTGATGCCACCCATGGCTAAGCTCCGATGTAACGGGCTGTCTGGTTTCCCCAGGTGTTTGTGGTTTTCCAACCAGCACAACAGTTTTGGGGGGAAAGGAAGACAGGTGTTATGCCCTGCATCAGATTTACAAGCTATGGGTATGTCTCTTGTGCACAAAACCAAGTTTCATACTACTGCTGCATCGGCGGATCGAGACCAGAGCATCTCAACCCATCACTTATGCTGGAGGAGGAGCAGGGGTTCCTCAGGGATGATCGGCCCTTACTTGCCACACTGTCCCTTTACCCCTTCCCTCCCCTTTACCTTTGCTGCCCTTTACCTGCTTTCGGGCAGCAAAGTTCAGGGCTGCCACGAAGCCTTAAGCCATCTCTGCTGGAAGGCAGTCAGCTTTTCAGGTAGCAACGGGCTTTGCTCTCCACTCAGTACCTTGGCACCACCAGCCAGAAATAAGTGACCATCATTTACAAACCTCTGGCTGCTGGTACTTGTTTGCCTCGCATGCACATGGGAAGGGCAGTCTTTGCCCTGGAGGGTTTACCACCAAAATAGCAAGGAATGGGGATGAAAAACCACAAGTGCCCTGCACCTCATCCCAGGAGATGGGTCCATACAGAGATCAAACCTGTCCATGGAAACCATGGCTGGTCCCCTGGGCCCTGACATGCACTTGCCTCTCAGCAAGAAGAAAGGTGACCTCCCTCTCTCTTCAAAGAGCAATCCTTCCTAATTATGGCAACCTGAAATTGCTCACTGAATAAGTTTTTTTTGAAACTAGGCCAGATACAGAGGACAAAAACAAACCAGTATACATAGTAATTGTTCCCACAACAAGTTTCTCCAAATGAACCAATTTTTATGCCATTTATCTGTGCAAGAAGGAAAATACAGCTCACCTGAGTAGATTATAGTGCTGCTGATGGATTAAGACTTAAAGCAAGTCTTGTCATCTTTTATTAGGCATAACATCAGAACACAGCGGTAAAGCACAAACTGCATCATTGCTAGGTAACATCAGACTTTTCAATTATTACTCCAGTCATCATCGTGCTGGCACATGTAGAGATTTAAAAGTCAAATACCATAATTATACCCAGAGGAGGAGTTTATGGAGGTGAGCCCATACCGGGTTCATAGGTAAACAGTCCTTGCAGGTTTGGTTTCTATATGGTAGTTTTTGTGTTTGTTTTTTTTTTTTTTTTAAAGGCAGCACAGCAACGCTTCTGTCATTCATGGAATGGGTTGGAAGGGACCTTAAAGATCATTTAATGCCAGCCACCCTGCCATGGAGGGGTGTTAAGAGTCACTTTTATCTTTTTGCCATTGTAAATATTCAAAGCAAGACAGCCAAGCCTAGGTTTCTGAGTTGTCTTCTTTTGTCTCACTTACTTTAGAAATTCTCTTGGCAGTGTACAGATAGCAACCTCATGCAGATAAAGGGAGAAACTCACCTTTCCTATAACCAGTCAAGTACCATTGGCTACAATTCAACAACTACATGCAAATTAAATTCAGGTGAAGACATTGCTGGAAATCAATGAAACAGTTCCATTGAATTTCTGAAATTTTGGATCAATCTGCATTTGTATGTAAAGTTCAGCCCCATAGTGCCAAAGGCATTGGTTGCATCTGAGACCCAAAAGCAGGTAAACACTTATCTCACAAGACCTACCCAAAGCCTGATCCCAAAATGCAGTTATTTTTAGAACAGAGAAGCGTACCTCTTTCAGGAGGTTGTAATGCTTTGTTTCCTCCTGTCACTTAACAATTTCAAAGTGATATTTTATTGATGTTTATCATGATTTAATGGAGTGATTATTTGCTTAATATTTGGTTACCTGAAAATAATTATTTCTCCATCAAAGCAGGTATGTTCTGGTTAATAACCACTGCTAATAACGTTTATGTTTCAAATGAACCTTCACTGCATTAAAAAAAATAATCCTGTTACACTGCTTTTCTCCCTTCTAGCCTTGACACATTTTAGTTATAAAAAAATGGAGTAAAAGTCCACAATTTAAGTTTTAAGTCTCTCACTAAGCTTAATTATCTAATAGCACTGTGCTTCGGTTGTATTTATGTTTTTTTTTTTAAACACAAATTAAGGTAAAAATTAATGTTTCATTTACTTATAATACCATAGCTAATGCCATGCAAATCAATGCTTTTGACATTCACAATGCCAAATTGATTCAGTATCAGAAAGGTAAAAGGCTCATTGAGAACATCCTGACTCGTGTAACTTCGATTGCGTTCAGCAGAGAATTAGCTGGTAGCTATTGTCATTATGCAAAATCTAAATAAATGTAAATGAAAGCAGAACCTAACCCAAGGTTACAGGGTTCACAATCCATGAGAAGAAACCTTGCTTCACATGCTACAGTTATTGTATATTTTGTTTAATCCATGGGGGGGGGGGGGGGGGGGGGGGGGAAGCTAGACCCAAACACACCCAGACCATCCACTTTTAAAATAAAAATTGCCACCCTGATGGCAGTGGGAAAATGCCTTTTGCCATAAAGCAGTGACCACCTCCTTGGAGGTGGCTCCTAGGATCCTCCCGCCCTGGGGAACAGCATTCTCAGACATCGTGCACTAAGGAAACAAGAGTGAGTCCTTGTAGCAGTACTGACTGAAGGAACAGAATTTGGCAACAGCTCCTGGTTTACAGTTTGGAAATACAGTAGGAGAAAATGGAAATCAATAATGTTGAATATTTCAGAGTCTTGAAAAACAAACTGAATTTAGTGGAGCCTAAATTACACAGAAATGTGATTATCCATATTAGTACTATGTGCAGGGGAAGGCTGCACTAATTTTGCTTATTTAAGAAGTTGCAGGAAGCCCCACACCCATCATCACTACCTGATCCAAAAACTTCTCAAGGACAGTAAGTTACCTCCTGGTTCCTAGGACATGTTATATACGTCTTCCACCAACATCAGCACCCACATTTGGGGTTGAGAGGAGGAATTTTTTCCCAAGCAGCAGGCTGATGAACTTGGCACGTTGACAGCAAGAAATCCAGCAGGACAGCAATGGATAGGATAACTGCATATGGTATGGGCAGGAGGACAAAGCAGGTCGCACTATGGCAGCTCTGATGGTTTGCCCCCAGCTACAGGAACAGCCCCAGTGGCTGGGGGTTGGGATCTCCTCCTGGAAGTCAAATACTTTCTTCTGGCTATACCTGCTAAATACGCTTACTTTTCCATACTGCCACTAGCAGCCCATAAAACTTTCTTCCCCTCTTGCCTTTAATCCATCACTCAGCTGACCTCGAACAACCCTGTATCAAATGGGTATTGGAACCATTTAATGTTTCAAGCAACCTCTTAGGTCAACTTTGGCCAAAGAGCCAGGAGGAAAGGGAAGGTTTAAAGCATTTTAGCACTCACTCCCAGGAACATTATAAGAGCCTGACTGCACGAATCCTGCTCCTGAGCTGTAAACATTAGATTTTTGA